AACAAAAAAAAAACAACAGCATTCACTTAGAGACAACTGAGAAAAACTTAACACAAATAAAATGCCCCCTAAATGAAAATCCTATTCTGCAGATTACAAACTGCAGGTAATAAAATATTCAGCCCAAAACGGTAATCGAGCAACAGAATGAAGGTTTGTAAACGGGTGGGGTCCGCTCAGTCTCGGGGGATTCAACCCGGCGGAGGGGTGGAAGGGACGGCTGCTCTGCGGTGGAGGATCTCCCCTCGTGGGGGACCTTCCCCCCATGTCTGGCTGGCTCCTGCTGGGTGCATTTCCTCTGAGGTGGTGCACTGCGACCAGCCAGGGTCGGCCTGCAAGGGTCCGGGGACAAAAGTGTTTAGCGAGCTCTGCAACATCCCCCCGCCTGCACCTCGCCACTTCCCAAGGCCGTGGACCACGTCCCTCGCTGCACCCTTCCTCCCTGCTCCAGCAGTGGAGGGACGGGGTCCCCTCACCCCTGGCACAGCTGTCGACCGAGACAAACTGTTCTCAGTGCAACCCAACCGCGCTGCCCAAGGCGGGAACCATCCTACATTTCCCAGGCACTATGGTGACGCATAATAAATGCAACTTACACTCCGAAGCGACTTATATATGTTTTTTCCCTCTTCATGAGGCATTTTTTTGACTGATGCGATCTAAACTCCAGTGCGACGTATAGTCCGGAAAATACGGTAGTTCGACTCCCTCCAACCAAAGGTGCTATTGTAAGATCTGTTCAATCTTCTGTGCAGCTGAAGGAGTGATTGTGATTGGAGTTGACCTGAAGCAGGAAAGAAGGATGTGAAATGACTGAGAGGTCAATGAACTGCATAGATGGTGGTTATCAAAGAGAATCAACAGTTCTGCTTGAGATCTGGGAGGAATAAAGAAAACACAAATGGTCAATTTAACAGACGTTAATTTTCATTAAGGAAAACGAAGCATTGAAAATGTGAAAATACCTTTTTGTGCAACATGAATAAACAGTTCAACAGTGAAGAATGTATACACTGGATTTGTTTTTTGTGCAAGTGTAGAAATCAAACAAATACAGTCAGGATTTTATGGATTTATTTGCATTTTTCCTTCATTGTTTTAATTATTATTTAAACCTGAGTGCAGGAACTGGCACATTTTCTGTTTGTAGGAAGACTCAGCAGATTTTTTTCTTCCTTTCACAAACGTGATAAATGTTTGATATTAAAATATAAACTTGCTGACCAAAATTCAAGCTGATTGTGACCTTTTCCTAAGACTTTGTGTAATTTATTCGTACTTCTATGTAAATGAAATTAGTATGTAGACATTCATGAGGTTAGATAAAAGGTTTCTTTAAGATTGCATATCAGCGAGGAGATTTTTTGTGCTTCATTTAGCCTCTTTTCTCTAAGACAACATACAAAATAAGTTCATTTGGTTTCATAATTTTTATACTTACCTAAAACTCAGCTAGTAAAATAGACATTCAGATACTTATTCGTACAAAAAGTACAGTTTATAAAAAAGTTTTTTTTTATAACCATAAAAAATACATAAAAATCCATTGGCAGCTTGGTAATGACTCCTCTTGGATGCCCTGCTGTATTGCACTTGCTGGTAATGGTTTCACCACTTTGGAGGATTCAGCATCAAAAAATGTTGCAGCTTGGGGCTTGTCTCAATATTCCCTCTGTGCTCTGGACCATCCTTGTGCTGCGTCAGTCAACCAGTGCCACACAGACGAAGTATAGCTGCTCACTGCACTTTCATTCAGCACGCTGCTATGTTCTTGCTATTAAAAAAAGCAGAATAAAAGGGTTAAAACATGTATTTGCAAAAAAAAAAAAAAAGACAAATATTCAAAGGCAACGTACATGTCTCCATTTCCTTCTCACAGATGTAGCTTATGAGGTCTTCACAGAAGGCGTCGTTCCATAATCCTTGGTGAATGAGAGCTGCACAGTCTTCTCCTGCTTCATGGAAGTGACCCCAGTTGTCTGGCTGTCCAGGCTTCCACTTTCTGCAGGCGGACAACAGGGGGCAACCACACATTATGTTTTAAGCTTCTTTTACAGTAAAAGGCAGGTGGAAAAGACAAATAACTTTAAAAAAAAAACAATGGGAATATGTTAGGAGTGCAGATTTACTGAGTTATTTAGGATGGTATGTTGGTGCATTTAACTGTAGTGCTGCTCTCCTTGTCATGTCTTTGCAGTTTTATGAGCTTAAATGTTTTATTTTTGTAGAAAATCAATATGAAAACCCAGAAATGTTTCAGTATACAGTAGTCCCTCGCTACTTCACGGTTCGACTTTTGCGGACTCGTTATTTTGCGGTTTTTCAAAGTAACATTGTACACGAGAGAGAAAAAAAGTTGTACGACACGTGATTGTCAACTTTAATAGTATGTGACTGGAACAGTAAACGGTTAACAAAAAATAAAACGCTACGGACAGGTGCCGTCATTTTGTAGTTTTCTCTCAATATGCCTACACTTTATTGCCATGCAAAAGGACTACATTTCCCAGAAGCCAACAGTACTACAACCCAAAAGCCCCGTTGCTTTCCGCTGAAATGGAGGGAAAGTTTTGATCCGATCTGGAACAGTTTGGTGCTTATTCATAGTGACTTCGGCGCCCAGCGGATGCAGAGAGCCACATGGAACTGACCGGGAACTGGACCAGAACTGGATCTCCAGACTTATCAGTCAATCTGAGTGCCGCCCACCGGCCCACGAGGTCTCCTGAGTATCACATCATGTTGCTGCTGATCTGTTTCATGCTGCTGTGTTCATTCGTACTGTTCGGTGCATTGTTTTTATGCTATTAGTGCTTGACGTATTTTAAGTTTATGTTTTCCTTAGTTCATATCTTAAATCTTATTACTGTTTTTCTTTTACATTTTATTGTTGGATGTAATAGGGACCCTGAGTCCACAATCTTGTTCCACCACATGTACCACAAGTGGTGCGAATGACATAAAGAAACTCTGACAGTTCTGCAGAGCTGGTGAGTAAAATTTTGCAGTACTGTACAGTACATATCCATACGTTGTTCAAATGACGTTGGTTTAAGAGTTTAGAGTGTGGGAAGGGTTTCTAAAGCCTTAATGTATACTAAAATAAATATAACGTCCCTACTTCGTGGATTTTCACTTATTGCAGGGAAGGGCGAGTCTGGTACACGATAAACGAGGGACTATTGTATCTCAGATTCTTGAGACAGGAAATATTCTTAACACTGACGTGAAAGCAGGCTCCGTGCCATCCACCCAGCGCCACGTGTTCTCCTCCTCCTTGTCCGTCAAACCCATCCAAAAGTATCCTTTTCCAACTATTTGCTTCTCCAGCCATGTCTGAGTGAGAACAAGAAAAACACTCACAATTCAGACTCACGGCACAGCACTGGTTGATGTCAAATGAGCAGATTTGCACCTCACCTGTTCCTCCATGTCACTGATGATCAGTAAGGATGCAGATCTAGATTCACATGTTGACTTTGCATCATCAAAACTGAGCAGATCTTTGGAAAAGAAGTAGCACTTGTTTCTATAGTTCACCCACCCAACAGGGCACCCTGCAACACAAACGATCAGTAAATAGCCACCACCAGTTAACAGCTGTATCTAACATTTCACACAAACCCTCTCTACAAACACTTACTGTTAAAGTTACACTGATATTAACTTCAATATGTGACATAAATAACCAAATACTTAACTATCTAGTTCTGTCAAATCATTTGCAACTCACTAGTCTAAGAAATGTTTCAAAACTTCTGATCATGTTGTACCTGGGGCCCACAGTGCAGGAGCCACTGTGTCCTCCTGCAGTGACACTTGTCCAAAAGCCACTACTGGACTATGTACTGGGATTCCTGTTAGCCCTGGTGGTCCCATAGGTCCTGGGGGCCCTGCTGGTCCTGGCAGTCCTCTTGGTCCTTGCTCCCCAGCTGGTCCAATTGGTCCAGGGATTCCCGGTGGGCCTTGAGGCCCTTGAGAACCAGTTTGTCCATCTCTTCCATGTAGACCAGCAGACCCTGGTTCTCCTTTAGCTCCTGGAGGTCCTGCCCTGCCTCCTGACCCCCTGGAGCCTTTGGACCCAGGGCTTCCAGGCACACCAGGGAGTCCCTTTAATCCTGGAAGACCTGGTGGTCCTGGAGTACCTGGTTCTCCTCTGGGTCCTCTTATCCCTGGAGCTCCCTTTTCTCCCTTTCCTCCTTTTTGGCCCATCTGACCAGATGGTCCTTGAAGTCCTCTGTCCCCTCGAGGACCTCTGGGACCAGGTGGACCTTAAAATAAAAAAATATATATATTCTTAAGTTGTTGAGAGAAATCCAAAGTCTTTCAAAATGAGGGCCACAACAGCATTGTATGTATCTTTCTAGCACTATTGCACAGAATATCTGAGAGAAAAAGTTCGTTAACCAAAAACTGAACATGTGGATTGATTTTCAAGTCATATCAAACAAAAGAAATGTAACCAAAGTTTCACGTCAAAACTCATATTTATTTAGCCACACATCACTAACCTTGCAAAATGGTAAAATTGGTTATTAGTTGTGAGTGCTTGGTATCCACCAGCTTCATCTCCTCCATCACAATGGACAGACTGGTGACCTCCTTGTCCACACGTGCTGCCAGCTCTTCCTGCTGTGACCTCAGACTGGCTGCGTCTGTCCTTGCATCCATCACGCTGCTGTTGAGGTTCAGCAGGAAGTCTGAGTGATGGCCGACGGTCTCAGAACAAGTGCGTAAATCATTCAGGTTAAGGTTTATGGCACCCAGAAGCTGCGTAGTGAAGCTGATGTTGCCAGTCACGCGGTCCATACTTTGCTCTAACTCATCCAGCCGCACCTCCAGCCGGTCAAACTTAGTGGATGTGAAGTTGTGAAAGTCCCTCTGTCGCTCCATGATCTCCCTCAGGGTTTGGTCCTGAGCCTCAGCTAGGCTGCTGGTGTTCTGGAGCTGGCTGGTCATGAAAGCGAGCTGCGTCCCCACATCCTCCAGGCTGTCATTGTTGGCTTTAGCTAGAGTTGAGGCGTTGTTGGCCATGACCCGCAGGTTTTCCATTTTACTCTGAATCCACTCCGTGTCAGAGCGAGTCTGTCTGGCAGTCTGCTCCAAGTTATGATAATCACTGCGCATTTTCTCAATTGCCCGGCTTGTTTCATCGACAGAACGCTGCAGGGCTGCAGTGAGGCCTCTCTGCTGGGCCTGAGTGAGGTTGAGATTGCTGATGCTGAGCAGTGCCTGGTTCTGCAGTTTGACCTGCTTCTGGAGCTCCCTCTGAAGCCTGCCTGTGTCCTCCTGCAAACTTTCAAGGATGCTGCTATAAGACTGCAGGGTGCCATTTACAAAGCGCAAGGCAGCTGTGTTGCTGTTGAGCAGTCCCTGAATGGAGCTCTGGCTGCTCTGAACGTCAGAGCCAGTCTTCTGCAACTGACTCAGCTTTACTTGATCCCGCTGGACGTGTTCCTCCACCGCAGACAGACGCCTCTGAAGAGTCCAGATGTTGCTCTTAAAAAACTGGATCTCCGTGGTGGTATTCTCTGACTTCTCCCCGGTTTGATCATCTGAAAATGAATATTTGCACACTAAGCTGCACCAGTGTTTCAGTGTTTCACTTAAGCCTTTGCATAAACTCAAATACATACCAAGCTTTTTTAAATCAGTCTCAACAGCAATTATCTTTCCTCCATAGTTTGCAATACCTTCAGACACACTGTCGACTTTTTGCACCACTGCAAATAAAGCACAAAAGGTACCACAAATGTTAGTCTTAGAATGTCATCACATTTCTTTATTAACATACAAGGCATGGGAAAGTGCCTGCAACCACAGACATTGTCTATGAAAAGGGCTCAGGTAAGGAAAATCTCATGAGACGTGTCCACATAACTGTAGGCATGTAATAAAAGGTGGACTCTTATAGGATTAGATCAGATTTGGTTGGTGACAGACATTAAGAGGTGTATAAAAATGGAATTTGGAGTAGCACAAATATGTTTAGACAAAAATCACTAAAAAGTGACATAGGACAGGAGAAACACCGATGCACTAAAGATGTATCAGGTGATCGGTAAAATACATTGAGGCTGTGGCTGCACAGGAGGACATTGGCCTGGGCCCTGGGGGACAGGAAGTGACTTGATGGGGCTCTTCAGTAAACAGACGGATCAAAGACAACCCACTGGAGACAGACACTGTTGCAGGGAGGCACTTTGCGCCTCTACAGGCGAGACCAACATTCATTTCCTCTGGAATGCGTCTGGAATTCCAGGGAAGCGGCCCACTACTAGCACCAGCCTCGCCACGAGGGCACTTCCTCTAACTGGGAGCAGCATGGGCTCCTCTGCTGGAAGACTGTTTACCCCAGCAGCTAAGACAACAGTGAGGTACAAAGGCTTTTACTTCTCAGCAGAAAGAGCAGATCCACTGTAACAAATCAATCCATCCACCCCTCTGAGTTTTATTTGTGGTCCCACAGCGATGCCCCAAAGTGCAAGTTATGTTTATTTTTAAATAACTCACAAAACTTCCTGATTCTTTTTTAACTTTTTGCAAACAATAGACTGGTTGTGTGCAAATTAAGCAAAAGTACTTTCCAAAAATGGCTGATTTGTCACTGAGCAAGGGTTAGCTGTATTTCATGGCTTTTTTAAACTAAGAGTCTTAGCCTACAGCCAGTTAGCAATGTACGCATTAAACATACAAAACATTAATAAGTCTGTTCTGGAAAGGAGACAAGGCTATTTGCAGAAGGTGATTCCCTTTTCTGTGATGGACTTGCGACCTGTCCAGGGTGTCCCCTGCTTCTCGCACAGTGATGGCTGGACATGGGCAACGGCGACCCCCACGACCCAAAAAGGAAGAAGCGGGTAAAGATAATGGATGGATGATTCCCTTATTTCTAGTCTTTATGCTAGCCAAAACTAAGCATGTGAGTTGTGGATTTCTATGGTACTGACATAAAAACTTACTTTGCTTGATCAGGGTGACTTTGGTAGAAAAGCAACATGAAAATAAGCTCAATCTATCATTTTCTTTTTCTGCTTGTTTCTGTTCAGGGTGGTGGGGAGGTGGTTCCTATTTCCAGCCGTCATTGGGCAAAAGGCCGAGGACATCCATCACAGTCCATCACAGGCAGTGGTGGGATGTAACTAAGTGCAAGTACTTTAATTTGTTACTGTACTTAAGTACATTTTCCATGTATCTGTACATTACTTAAGTAGAGTTAAACATGGATACTTTCTACTTTTACTCCACTGCATTTTACATTAAGTATCTGTACTTTCTACTAATAATGCGTTGCGTTACACGTTACATTCATGTTGCGGTTTTTTTTTGTTTGTTAGTTTGAAAGTAACCAATGGCAAGAGGGGAGTTGGTCCATTGAATCACTGCAAAGTGGGCAGGTAACATTAGACCAGCCTTCAAGAAGAGCTGGGCCCATGATGTATATTCTAGTATATACACGTCATTGAGCTGGGCGCACCCACAGTACCGCTAACACACACAAAATGGATTCCACTGAGGAGAGTCAGCCAGAAGATACACATCACTCATGGCCTTATTGAAATATTATTGAAAGATTATTAAAAGATTACTGAAAGACTATTCAGTACAGCAGAACAGATTACCTCTCCCAAAACAGACAGACTGGACTCAAAAAAACTTTGAAAGCCAACTTCTTTTGAACTTGAACAAGAAATTATTGCTGCAATATTAAAATGTGTCAGTTCATGATGTTAGGACAGAAGACAAGAGATGTCTCCAAATGGCTCGACCCTCGGGTCCAAGTTTTGAAAATAGTGTCAGGAAATTAAAATATTGTTCACAAGGTTGACTAGACATATTTTAACTAGAGTTGATGACAAACTGGAGTTGAAATGATCAGTGGAAATGATCAGTGTCTATTCCTTTGTTAGGCCTAATGCTCCTTTTGTTCAGGCAGACAACTTTTACTTAAATGCGTTTACTGCAGTTAAAATGACACATTGATTTTGATTTGTGTTAAATAAAAACGTTCAAAGGTAAAATCATTCCTCTTTCTTATTTTGCTTAATGGCATTTAACTCTGCATGTCACCCCTGAAATTCTGACACACAGAATCACAAGTCCAAGTGTGAACTGTGTCACACAATAAAAACATGTATTATCTGCAGCATTGTTCATTAAAATGGCTCAAAACTATTAATGTATTACAGAAAATATACATATAAAATATTGTAGACAATTGCAGTAGGCAATACATCCAGCAAGTACCTTTACTTTTAATAATTTAAGTAATTTTAAAAGCAAGTACTTAGTTACTTCTACTTAAGTACAAACGTTAATGATACTTCTACTTTTACTAGAGTACATTTTTGTCTGTTTATTTGTACTTTTACTTAAGTACAGCGTTTGAGTACTTTCTCAGAGCCATATAGAGACAAAAGAGACTGTCATCCATGCTTACAACCAAAAAGCAATTTAAGGTTACCAGTTAACCGAGCAGGCATAGTTTTGGTTGGTTTCTGTGTAAAGAAAACAGAGTATGTGGAGAAAACAACACATTGAAATGGAGAACACACAAGCTCAACACAGAAAAGGCCCCAAGTGGGTTCGGACCCTGCAACTATGAGGCAACATAAATAACCACTGCTCTGTTGTGCTGCCCAAAGTAAGCTCATCGATGGGTAAAATATCTATTGAGTAACAAACGTTGAGACACTTGGGAGATTTTGAGAACATTTATCAATGTGATCAACTTTTATTACATTTCTACACATTCTAAACACATCTAAGAAATCCATGTTGATCCACGGTACAAATAAACAGATTTGAAACCACACGGCACGTTTCCAGGCAATCATTTAAACCAGAACTGTGTAACAGTGTACTATCTATAAGGGACACAGAATTTTATAGTACCTATTATACATGTTTACTACTTTCAGACCTGTTTCCATATGTTGTGTTTGTGTACTGGCCACAAGAGATGATCCTTGCATCACTCTGCTGTATAATGAGCCAATAAACAGACAATTAAAAAGTATGAATTACTGCAGAGAGAGGCTTTATTTGGTGTATAGGTTCAAATGGACCCCGCCCCTCGCACAGTGATTGCTGGACATGGGCACCAGCGACCCCCGTGACCCAAAATGGAATAAGCGGGTAAAGAAAATGGATGGATGGATGGATGGAGGTTCAAATGGTGTAGAACCGTGTCCTAGCTGACTTGTTGAATCAAACCTAATGGTTCTAAATTTTTATGAAGCAAGTGAAGAGTAAATTTAACTGGAACAATCCAATAAGTCCAAAGATAAAGTGTTTTTTTTTTTATTCTGGCTTTGTTGTGACTTTTTTCCTCAAGACCTGCTGAACTGTCTTTCCTCCTTTCAGTATAGGATCTGCATCTTAGGATGAGTCGTAGCGAGAAAATAAAAGCCCTGTAGCTTTCCAAATTATTGTTAATGAAGCAAGAAAACAGTCTGCTTACAACACTTACAAAGGTCTTTAAATTCCAGAAATACTTGAGGTTGAACTGCATCTAAACAAAGCCACCCCACCAGTGTGGTTAGTGCAGGTCAGCGATGGAGAACAGAGAGAAACACACATGTTAAGTGCATAGAGGGTCTCACTGTTTCACCATCTGGAGCTGGGTTGTTTGAACTGTGGTTCCCCTGACAGAGCAGAGCTTCAGTACAAGTAAAGACCCAGTTTCAGTGGGTTCTGCTGGAGTTGCACCAAGTTCACTCGCTGCTCATCTGGGACCAATTAGCCCTGCGTGAAAACATGCAGAGCGGTCCAAGGACTGACTTTGCTCAAAATATGTAAGGAACCATCATTGTACAGGCGCTCATGTCACAAAGATAACCCCTAAAACATGTTAACTTCATGCCTTTTTTACCAATTGAAATAATGGGGGGACATAAGACAGACACACATGGGAATGTTTAACGCAACAAAAGCAACGTTAAAAGTTCAACCCTACAAAAGATGGCGAGACCGGTTTCCGAACTGGAAAAATGTGAGGAAGTTTGGCTCCTTGTGGAGGTTCTCCAGAGGTGTGAGCTTTGCTGGTGATGGAAAAGTACTGCGAGGAGGTAGTGGGGTGGAGACAAAGGAGAAGAAGAAAGGAGAAAGAGGAGGCAGACTGATCCTTAAAGGGTCCGTTCACCCAAGTTACAAGAATTCAATTACTTATTGTGGTTTCTAGCAAGAAGGTTTGAGTGATGTGTTGAAGTTTCCCACATCAATATAAGAGAAGTGAATACATTTTAATTTGTGGCGATTTGTGGACATTAAACCAGTTCTTTGCACTAAAAATATAGTCTTTATTGACAGGAAGTCTGGAATTCAATGTCACAAAATGTGTTTCAAAACCAAAATTATGTAGTGCAAACATATTGTGTGCAGAAAAAATTCATATCATACTGTAGATATAATAAAACTTGCTAAATTAAATGAATCTGCACTAATGAACTTTTTTTTACATATCCATTGTAGAGCTGTGATGTCGGGCCAAAATTGAGTGCTTGATGGGCAGGCCGTGTCAGGTTGGGCTTTTGATGCAGTTTTACGAGTCATACAGCACAAAGAAAACTAAGTAAGAATGCACAATGTAAAATTGTGTAAATCTACTTGTAGAGGAGGAGGCAGTAAGTTTATATGTTGAGGATGAGAAAGAAGGAAGAGTGCAGCAGTTAATCAGACTGTGAAAAGAGAGAGTAGCTTTAGCTACTAGTAACATTGCACAACAATTGTGATGTAGCCCTGCCCACCCTTTGCTCTTATCACACATCTGAGGATTTACAATTGACCCCGACCGGCTGGTTGAAAGAAGTAAAAAAAAAAAGTCCTGTTAAGCTTAGATGGACGAGATCATCAGCCATGCACATCCACTGACCAGCTGAAAGAGGTAAAAAAAAACTTCCCATTAAGCTTCAGATGGACAACCGGATCATCGGTCGCGCGCTTCTCCGCACCCTGCTGTCATCTGCGGTGAAGGAAGTTGCAGCATCTGAAGAAACGCTGAAGCGAGCAACACGTTCAATTAAAATAAACTTGTTCTATATTTTTCCAAATCATTTTGTTCTAAAATATTTTGTTCATCTGTATAATAGCCTATCTTTACTGTTGATTTTTTTAGGCTATTCGTTTTGTTAATACCCATTTGGTGACTTGTTAATAAACATAAAATCTTATGTCTTCCTTTCTTTGAAATACGTTTTTAAAGCTATCATGTCAAATTGATTTGCTTACAAAAGCAGTAAAAGCTTACCACATGTTCTGGCATAGTTTTTTGCATAGATTTGTCAGTCCTGAAACTTATACGCCAAAGAGACTTAAATATGTTTTTGTTTTCATCTTCATGATTCTTTTTTGACTGATGTGACTTATACTCTGTAGCGACTACTATGCCAGAAAATACGGTAATTAAAACAAAATGTCGTTTTTATTTTTCGGGTTCGGGCCTGTAATTACATTGAATTGTTGGGTCGGATCGGGTTTGGAAAAAATGGCTACAGGCTGGGGTCGGGTCGAATTTTTTAGACCCTAATGCAACTTTAATCAATTGCATCCTATTGCATCCTTGCAAAGACATACAGAAATGTATTACTCAATCAGAAAAACAGGGTGATAAATTCAGATTTTTTTTGCTCAAGTATTACAACTAAAGGTATAAAGCATCAGCTCCCCACATGCGTTTTATTATTACAGCCCCTAAAATGAGCTTTGAACTTCTGTCTAATCAAAGACTAGGAAGTGTTAAGAGATCATTAAAACTGGGTGTTAGAATGAGTTGGAAATGTTTATGTCCAACTATTAGCTTAGCTATTTCTAAGGTTAGGTTAGAGTTGTAAATTAGACTTTTATTTTAGTAAAATAAATCTGCCTTAAAAACTTAAGTTTGCTATGTACTGTAATTGGAGTGTGCAAAAAAGATTTGTACAAACAATCCTGCATTTACAGAATGAAAAGTACTGGTTTTGTTACTAATGTCGAAACAGAGAGTTGTATTTCCTTTATGCTCAATGTTCCCACAGTGTGAAAAAAAGTAAAGTATAATAAATAAAGTCCAGTTATTTTTGTCTTAACCTTTTTTGAATTTGTCATTATAGCCACGTTTACCTATTACATGATACAACAGCATGCCTTACTGCTACTACTACTCTGCTGCCATCAAGTGGCTGAAAGTGGTACTGCTCTTTTTTTTTCAGTCAGAATGATTGAAAACTGTCATATCTCAGCCAAAAATTGGTTTATAAATATGGGAAAAAAATCCATCAATACATCGCTTCGATCTATAAGTCACAGGGCATGTAAGTTAGGCAAACACCTGTGACTTATAGGCTGAAAAATACAGTAGTTCCAGAGTTGTTGATTGGTGCATATGTGCTGTACACTTGCAGTACTACAAATTCATCTTTGGGTTACACATTTGGATTTGTAATCAGGTTATCTAACTTGGAGAGACATGACAGTGGTTCACTCTTTTCCTCTCCTCTGCAACAAGATAAACACAGAAATGTGTCACGAATCACGTCTGTCAGTTAGGTTTTTGTGTCACTCTGTTCACTTGTTTTGGTTCTGGGGATCTACTCTTTTGTTTTTCTTTTTCTTTCTCTGCATGTGGGTTGAGGTTTGTCTTCACTCCTAGTTTAACATTGTCTTCACTGCAGCCAGCAGCGCTGATTGCGCTCAACTGGCTGCACCTGTCCTCCTCTCCCTTTATAAGCTTACAGCTGACTCTTTTTCGGTGCCCGGTAGTTGAACACTTTTAGTTAGTAAATACCTCGCGCTCATGACCACGCTCTGTCCCTGTCCTGTCCTCTCAAGTCCTTGTATTCCTGTTTTACTCGTTTCTGTCCTCCCATCGTTTCCTGTTCCCTTCCTCTCGGCTCGACCTCCCAGCTTCTGGACCCACGGACCTCCTGACTTCGTCTCTCGTCTGCTCCTTGGATTATCTCGGCATCTGATCATCGGTTCTGACCCACGCCTGCTCGACCACGTCTCTCGGATCATCCCCACCAGCTTTACTCTCCACCACTCGCTTGTTTTGGATCACGCTCGGTGCTGGAGACACCAACTTATCCTGCAGACCTCGCTGCAAGCGTCAGCTGCTGCCGACTGTCGTCTCTCACCAGACCCAGCTCCTCCAGCAGTCATCCGGGTCAGCTGGACCCGCTTCAGCGCTTCAGAACCCCCATCATCACTGAGACGGTTAGTGGTTGTTTTTTCATCTGACTGTCTTCACTCTCGTCACCTGCACAACCACTAACCGTTCTCCATCTTTAGACTGTTCGTATGGATCGGTGATTGGAACCTGGAACCGGTCCACAGTCTGCGAAAGCTTGCCGAGGTCCATCCTGCCGTTTTCATCAGTTAATAAACTTTATTTAATTGATTTTTGTGGTGGTGATTTTGGTCCATTATACGGGGTTCGTTACAAAATGTCCAAAATGTTAACACTGTAATGATTTTTGTAGCTCTGACAGACTCATATTTTCCATTCCAGGTCTGCAGTGTTTAAAAACATATTGCAACAGAACATTCATGTCATGCTTGGCCACAATGAGGGACTCCTGGGAGACAAAGAGCTGCACGTCTCTCACACAAGCACAGGAGGTTTGGTTGTATTCATACACTCAATGTGAACAGCAAAGGCTCTTGGCAGCATGAAGGCAAACCTAATGTTATGTTTGGATGGTCCTCAATCAGCGCAAGAAAAGTGAATCATTAGGACATTTCAGGGAACACCGAGCATCGATTAAACCCTTCAAATTAGAGTGAAAGCACAGAGGAGCAGTGGTGGGATGTAACAAAGTTCAAATACTTTGTTACTGTACTTAAGTACATTTTTCATGTATCTGCACTTTACTTAAGTAGAGTTAAATGTGGGTAATTTATACTTTTACTGCCCTACATTTTACATCAAGTATCTGTACTTTCTACTACACTACATTTTTATAATGTGTTGCATTACAAGTTACATTCATGTTGCAGCTTTTTGATTTGTTTGTTACTTTGAAAGTAACCAATGGTGAGAGGGGAGCTGGTCCATTGAATCACTGCAAAGTGGGCAGGTAACGTTAGACCCACCTTCAAGAAGAGCTGGGTCATTGACATATATTCTAGTATATATGTCACTGAGCTGGGTGCACCTGCAGCACCGCTAACCCACCCAAAATGTCTTCCACCGCAAGAGAGTCAGCCAGAAAATATGCTCCACCCATGGCCTTATTGAAAGACTGCTCAGTACAACAGGACAGATTCTCTCTCCCAAAAGAGCCAGATTGGACTAAAAAAATAATTGAAAACCAACTTCTTCTGAACTTGAACAAGAAGTTCTTGCTGCAACATTAAAATGTGTCAGTTCATGATGTTAGGAGACAAGAGGTGTCTCCAAATGTCTCGACACTCAGGTCCAAGTTTTAAAAATGGTGTCAGGAAGTTAAAATATTGTTCAATATTGACCCATTACAAGGTTGAATAGACAGTAGTTTAACTAGAGTTGATGACAAACTGGAGTTGAAATATCAGTGGAAATGATCAGAGCCTGTTCCTTTGTTAGTTGTGTCTAATGCTCCTTTTTTCAGGCAGAAAACTTTGACGTAAATATGTTTACTGCAGTTAAAAGGACACATTGGTTTTGCTTTGTGTTAAAAACTTTCACAGGTATAATCATTCCTCTTATTTTGCTTAATGACATTTAACTCTACAGGTCACCCCTGAAATTCTGACACAGTATCACAAGTCCAAGTGTGAACTGTGTCACAGAGTAAACACAATAAAAACATGTATAATCTGCAGCATTTTTCATTAAAATGACACAACACTATTAATGTATTACAGAAAATATACATATGGTAGGCAGACTTAAAGATATGTAGACCATTGCATTAGGTAATACATTCAGGAAGTACTTTTACTTTAAATTTAAGTATTTTAAAAGCAAGTACTTGTTTCATTTTACTTAAGTAAAAATGTTAATGTGGCACTTCTACTTTTACTAGAGTACATTTGTACTTTTACTTAAGTACAGTGTTTGAATACTTTCTCCACCACTGCAGAGGAGCAAACTCAGCTTACCTTTATATCCAAGCAGAGCAACAGCAATGGTGAGGAGAGTACACAGCACGTAGAGCAGAGCTATGGAGGTCTTCAGAGCCCATTCATTCTTGCATTTGGTGCATTGGCTGCCCTCCTGGATCCCTGTGTGAAATAATGGGTTTGTTTAATGTCAGGTTTTTTTTATGTTTTTTATATATATATATATATATATACTTTAGCAGACATGTTTAACGTGGACACTGGCAGAGTTAAATGCCACAGCGGACTCTTACAGACCTACATCTGTACAAACAGCCTTGGAGTCTACATTAAAGAGACCAGCAGCTCCCTCAGGGCCCGGGTGGTGAAGGAGAAGACACAAAAAACGTCACCCGACTCGTTCACACTTGTGTTTCTGAACTCAGTTTTCACTCTGCAAGCTCTCGGTCTGAGTAAAAAAAAAAATCACTTTAGTGTATTTCCATGCAGCATCCTCCCTCCTGCTGTGACGGAGTTGAACTAAGGCCCTCAGCTTGTGAGGACATTTGAAGACTATTCCTGAGCTGTATTTTTTTTTCTACAACAGATGAGTGGCAGGATCCACAGTGCTGACGGGAACACAGCTGTATTTCATTTTCGATCCAGGAAGTGTGTTGGAATCGGGGCGTTTTTTTTTTTTTTATGCAGCTGGAATGAGACTTCCTTCAGTTTCTTGGATATAGAATAAAGATATGATTATCGTCGTTTATCATCACAATCCAAACACATTCAGGTTAACAGGAGACAGTCGGTCACCATCATTCAAGGTGCACAATTTTTTGCATCCGCTCATGTGGGCTTTTATGTTCAGGTCATGCCTAAATAGATTCAACTTGCAGTGCTGATTGGATCTGGAAGGTCCCACAGGGAGTTTAGATGCCAAAGTTAATCACAGGATTTGTTCTTTAAGGTGTATAGGGATTGTTAATGGCTGCTGAAAGTTAGGCTTCAGTTAAACACCGAGTCCAGCTGGAAGGGAAGTGAAACTGGAGGTTCATGATGATGATTAAAATGTATAGACCTGTAATATACAGAAACAGATTCAAACCGTATTTTTCTGCAAACTGTGACACCAGCTCACAGACCAATGAGTTATATCATTTTCTACTTTGCCCTTCAAAAAAATTAAAGGTCAAAAACGAGGTGATTCAATGTTTCGGACTGTTTGTGAAGAATACAAAAACGCACATAAGGCTCTGACTTAAAGTGTCATTTGTTAAAAAATAAAATAAAATAAATCAAACGCTTCTGCATAAAATCCACCTTCGTTTAGTCAGTTTTATATTCTCCTCTCAAAGTGCTGAACAAGACTGAACGGTGTCTGATTCATGAGAAAAGATGCTGAATGAGCTGGTTTAATATCAAAACACCACAACTAAAAATGTCAAAAGCAAAGCAGGTTATTGGAATCATAGAACAGCACAGTTTGCGTTGTAGTTGATGCATTTGTCTTTTTGTTAATCACTGATGATTTTAACACGGGGCAGCACGGTGGTTCAGTTGGTAGAGCTGCTGCCTCTCAGTGATCAGGCCACCCTGGTTTAAATCCCGTCCGGGTGCCTTTCTGGGTGGAGTATGCATGTTCTCTCCATGCACGCGTGGGTTTTCACAAATACAATAGTCCCTCTCTACTTTGCGTTTCAACTTTTGCGGTTTTTCAAAGTAAGATTGTACACGACACACGATTATCAACTTTAATATTACTCACGTGATTGGGACAGTACGGGATACAGTAAAAAGTTAATTTAAAAAAATTCTTCAGACAGGCGCCGCCATTTTGTAGTTTTCTCTCAATAAGCCTACACTGTGTCGCCACTCAAAAGGACTACATTACCCAGAAGCCAACAGTGCTTAAAGCTGCTACTTTCTGCTGAAATGGAGGGGAAGTTTTCATCCGATTCGAACCTGACTAAATAGTTCGGTCCTTATTCATTGTGACTTCGATGCTCAGTGGATGCAGAGAGGCGATCAGAACTGACCGTGAATTGGACCAGGACTACTTCCAGATTCATCGGTCAATCGGAGTGCTACTTACTGGCCCAGGGAGCTTCTCAAGCGGGGAGGCGTTGCTTGAAGGTTCAGTGTCTTCTCCAGAGCTCACCCGAACTTTTTTCATCCTGATCCCTCTGGATTATTTGGACTCAATTGAGACCATTGTGTCGTGTTGTGCTGGCTATCCGAAGGTCCAGATCTCTCTTAAAGCGTCTTGGTGCTCAAGCACTGCAGAGAGCCGATCAGAACTGGACTAGACCCAAACCACGATTGGTGCGTACCCATATATAATTTTGCAGTAGCTACTGTGCAGTACATATATGTACATATGCTGTTAAAATGATGTAGGTTTAAGAGTTTAGAACATTGTGGGCTTCATCGCTGCAGGGTAGGTCTGCCGAACCGGAACCGAGCTGGACTGGAACAGAGCTGCTGTTCTGCAAAGTTGGGGAGTAAAATTTTGCAGTATTGTACAGTACATACACGTATGTTGTTAAAATGACGTAGGATTAAGAGTTAGAACATTGTAAGAGTGTGGGAAGAGTTTATAAGTCATATATATATATATATATATATATATATATATATATGACACACATATATAAATACTAAAATAAATATTAGCATTCCTACTTTGCGGTTTTTCACTTATCACGGGGGTGTCTGGAACGTAACCCCCGTGATAAACGAGGGACGACTGTACTCCAGTTTCCTCTCACACAGATCAAAAACATGTTAGGCTGATGGGTAACTCTAAATTGTCTCTAGGTGAGAGTGAGAGAGTGAATGGTTGTTTGTCTCATTTGTCTTTATGTGTCCCTGTGATGGACTAGAGACCTGTCCAGGGTGTCCCCCACCTCTCACACAGTGATGGTTGGATATGGAAACCAATGACCCCCGCGACATGAAACCTAAGAAGTGGGTAAAGATGATAGATGGATTTTAACATCACACTTGTTTGGCTTTTATTTTGTGTTTATTTTCTTTACTGTAAAAAAAAGCTTTTACTCCATGTTTTCATATATTTTAATAAAAAAGTGAATGAATAATTGAAATAAAGTGATGTCACCGTTGGCCATTGTACTCAGCTATAAATCAGTTCATTGACATTTCTTGCCAATCGCCTCATAAACATTTAATGAGTGTGAGGACAGCGGGGCTGTTTTTAGTCGCTGCGTTTCTTAAAGTAAAACATCTGGGTCTTTTTAATAAAACGGCTCCAGCTCGTGTTGTAGGGAGCGTAACAGAGCAAAAAGTGATTACTGCGGCTGAGATAAATGATTGTAGGTATGCATCATTCAGGACATGTTTAAAGTGTCAGTTCACAACAGTGAAGCAAACATATCAGTTCATCAGCTCACAGTTATCAAAGTGCTGCAGTCCAGAGCTGCTGTTTCACTGCTAACAACCTGACAGGCTTTAAAAACCTGCTGCGAGAGACATCCATTTGCAAAAAGTTTAAATTATAGTCTTTTTGGAGCAAACGTCAAAGAAAGCTGCTTTGTGACTAAGTGGAAACGTCTGACTTGGCTTTTAAATGTGAATGACAGTTCATGTGACGTGATATGTGGCTGATAGGACGAGGAAAAAAATAAAGATTTCAGTTTAACAGCTTCTCTGTGACAACGGAATACAACGGGTTTTAAGATCATGTGATCAACAAAAGACAAACAGCAAGTAGAGTGTGTTTATAAATCATTATTCTCATTTTTATTGTTAAAAATTAACTCCCGCTTTGCTGTGTTCCCCCCACTGTTTGACCCTGTTCTGCACACTTGCCATCACCACAGAAGAAACGGTCACAATGTTCACATTAACCTGTTGTCGCAATCAGATGTAGCATTTATTTGATTTCACCCCACTAATACAATATATCACCACAAAAACATCTATATTAACAAAATCTTTCTAAATGAATCTCTATATATCGCTTTAGGAAACTCCCTGGATTTTGTAGCACGCAAGTAAAACATATGTTACAACTTAACGGTTCAAAAAGGATTTAAAAAAAAAAATGCATGTGAAGTGACGTTTAGATAAATGCTCTGAAAATGAGGATTTTTTTTTATTTTTTATCTTAAATTAGCAAGACTTGGTTAGCTTTAGCTCATCTTAACAGCGAACACTGAATTGTCATATTTCATCTGTTTGCAGAGTCTGTCACATCACCGCTGACCACAGGTAGAAAAATACCCATCGTCAAGGGCAACCAGACCACTGGCAGGCACTTTTACTTTACACTGCAAAAAAATAAAAACAGTACTTTAGTGTTTCCAAAGCCAAAACATTGTGAAATATTGTTTTAAATTGTAAATGAGTTCTTTTTTGTGTGCATTTTGGCTCAAAGTCCCTCATTGTTTCTGTAAAGTTAGAACATTTCAACAGTGTCCACCTTCACGTGTCACCAAGCCCGTATCATTCATCAGCCTCATTTTGTAAAACAAAGGAATACCCCGCACTTCATATTTTTTATATCAACATAACTCCATGAAATGCCAAAGTAATGTCCAGGGGGGGCCACAGTGATTCAGCATCTGCGTTTATTTAAGATCAATAGCAACGGAGACGCTACAGAGAACACAACGTTGTGTGCTGAGGTCACAAAAACAGTTTTTTGGACCCCAGCCTCGACCAACACGCTTTCCAGAAACCAGAACCAAAAGTAGCAAAGGGAATTACATCTGGCACCACAGACAGAAAGGACAAAGTTCAACAGAGGAATCAAGACCGAGAAAGCAGAACAAAGAACTCAACGGAGAACAAATACAGTGGCAGGTAAATTATTTTACACAAATCTCTTTTACACACAACATATTATTTATTATAAATTACTTATATGTGTGTGTGCATGTGGATAAATGTGCGCATGGATGTATATATATATATATATATA